ATTCAGGTAGGGCAGAAAATACCACAAGAGGTTCAGAAAAAATGGAGTAAAATAATTCAGAGTATAGTGGAGGACGATGAAGACATAAGTTACATAACTGTAGATGATATGCGCATGATACAGCCCGATATATTCAATATTCTCATAATAATGATAAAACTTATAGGAATTGATTATGATGAATATAAGGAAGAAATACAGGAATATAGAGACAGGCTACAAAATCTAGAACTAACGGATAAGTCTTACAACGAATATCATTTTATACGAGAGATTGAAGACTGTGTATATGAGATATTTTCTCAGATAAAAAGAGAATGCCAAAAGGATAAAATACTTGCAGATGGATGCTCTATGCCTTCTATCTTTTCTAAAAATGAAATAATGATCTATTATGTGGACTTTGAGGGTTATAATATTCAGATTGTGAATAACGCAAACCATTTGGCTGGGCGCATAACGATTTGTTATAAAACCCTAACCCGAGAACAACGAATATGTATTCATTTTGTGTCATCTGAAAAAGTTCATTTAGGAGTTGGTAAATCATATTATTCGGATTATCCTGAGTTACTGAGAGAAATAAATAAGATGCCAAAAAACAGCTATAGTATACATGTTCTTTCTGAATATGTAGAAGCCATAAACCCAATCGATCCATATTATGCAAAACGGCACATAATCCCCAGAATGCATGGAATATTCAGAATGCGCGAATATAACCCGAATAACCCGAATATTTTACAATAGTCTCGCTCTTAGACAGTAGGTGAACTGCCAGAAGACTTAACTTGGAAGGGCTCGGATACTCAAAGAATAGCTCATAGATTGTCCATATAACCAGAATACGCACAATTCAACTCTCAGCAGCCTTCTGAATACTACACTGGTGTTTGCTGTTTGGTAGCTGCTTTACTGAAGTTTTGCTAGTGTTATAGCTAGCTTTTCACCAACCCGAATAATTTATTTTGCTAGTATTGGTTTTGTAGGAAATTATTTCTGTGCTTAAATAGAGCTTTATGGAGAAGATACACTTGTCTTTTTTCTTTTACTCTATTCAGTTTGCAGAGAATTCTCTGAAATTTTCCAAGAGCGCAAGATTATTAATAGGAAGGATATTCAATAAATATACTTTACTTTAAAGCATTCTAAATGCAATAGTTGTGTGTTGTTAATGCGAGAAGGTCTATTAAGTGAAATATAGAGACATAGTACAGTGTATAACAGATATACTAGCCAGAAAGTGCAGTTAGCGCATAGAGAGTGTCTCTGTCTGTGACTCAGATGGTCTGTTGTATAATGGCTGACTCAGAAACAGAGCCATCCAAGACAGAAAAGTCACAACTATCCAAGTATGCATGCAGTAGAGTGGAAAGGGAGTGGATATGCGCAAATACAAGAGGTATACAGCAGAGTACCCTCAGTATAACACACTCTGCACACTCTTCTGTGTATATCCTGTAGTGTGATCTTGACCCGAAATTGTTAAATACTAATATGCTTTATACAAGTATATAGAGAAGTAACAGAGTATTAATATTAATATAAAAATAAAAATGATCTTTAGATATACAATATATTCGGGTGCAAAAATGCAATAAATAGAATGAGAGTGGATTCTAAAGAAGAGATAACCCTAATGTGGCAGTGCCCGAATAACATACGGTTATTATTCAGTGTTCTCTGCGGGATAACAGTATATTCATTAATAGAGTATCTATGGGAGGCATTTCATCAAAGATACCCTGGCATACCCACTGCAATAAAGACAGGCACTAAGACAAAAAGTGCAGAAAAGGAAGGAGTGCCTAATAATAGCCTCAATAATGCATTAGAAGACCCTGCAGAGATGAGTATGGCAGAGAAAACAGAAGAAAAGAGTGCCACTGGAAAAGAAGAGTCTATAAGTGGTGCACTTTCCAATTCTCAAATACAGGGCCCGAAGACCGCTGATATAGCAGGAATAGCCCAATACAGCCCGAAATTAGAAGAACACTATAAAATCGGCATAGAGTGTTTAAAAAGAACAGAAGATGCCGGAAGCAAAGCACAGCTAAAGCACAGGCGCAATAAGTCGCAGTAAACCCAGACATCTGCAGGCCATACAAATAAACTCTCTTGACAATAACTCTTTATATTATACTACTGTCCCTGGCTGGAGCACTGTCCCTTTTCAGCACGCCAATTAAGTTTGTCTGTGGTGCATAGTATGCTAGAGCAAAAACAGAAAAAATTGCATGCTGTTTGCACCGAGTGCAGTAGGGCTGTACTCAGTTATCTAGCAACACTATGCACTCTCTGCCTGGCAGCTATATGCCTACTAGCAGTTCGCGTGTCTAGAAGGAGTGCTCGAGCACGCTCTGGCAGGCCCACTTCTGCAAAGGCAGCTAGAAGGACAGAAAGACCCAATACACACATAGAAAGTACATTAGAGGGTCAGAAAGAGACCAGAGAGGAGAGTATCAGTGAGATGGAAGAACCGTATAAAACAGATGTCACTAACAGCATAACCACTGCGAAGGACGTGTGTGCATGCGATATACA